GACATTGTACTAGTGTGTACTGTGTTGCACAACTTTATTACCTTGGAGGATCCGAATGATGATATTTTAAATGAAAATGTTGAAATTGATGAAGATACTGGGGAAGAGCCAAATGAAGACGATTCAAATGTGGTGGATTATACTCAAAGTAGGATACAAAGAGAGGATCGAGATGTAAGAAATGAATGGAAGGAGATGCGAGATCAAATTGCTTGGGCGATGTGGGTGGATTATTATGCAAAGCATAATAGTGGTAACACAATGGAGAGCGGTTTAACTTAGTGTGTTATTTGTTCTATGACTATGTAATAACTTGGTAAATTTTAAAATACTGTTCGCATCGATATTGTTTAATGTTTCTTTGCTTGTACCAAAACATTACTACTTTTATCGGTTGCTCTTTTGTTATGTTGTTTGAGAAATATCGTCATTTTATATATTCCTTGATAAATGCATGCATATCCCATATTGTTTTATATTTCTTTATTGTTAATATGGCTATGCTTATATTATATATTAGGTATGGCTAACAATCCGGCAGATAAGCAAAGCGTGCCTTCTCATTCGAATGCAATGCCAAATCCTACATCAGGGATTAACATGAACTTCATGCCTATTCGACCACAACCATTCACTTTACCTACTCATACAGTCTCACCATTCCCACCATACGATGGTAATTACAGTGGGATGATACATCTGCCAATGTCATACATGAGCTTGTTAAGCAGTCCACAAGGTTTGCTATTTCCCACAGCCAGTTCTCAAAGTAGTGGACCTAATCAATTTTTATCAAACACTAGTGATTCAGGTGGAAAGGATATTCATGACGTTGATAGTGCGGAGCACACTTCGCCGTTGAAAAGAGGGAAAAAATTAGCTCATAAGAAAAAAGTTCCGGGTGCCAGGTTGAACTCAAGAGGCGTGGCTAATAAGTTTTGGCTTCCAGAGCACGATGATGTGCTTATTCCTTATCTTACAGATTTAGCATTGGATGGCCTGAAGCCAAACAAGAACTTCAAGGCTGAAGCTTATAAAATGGCTGCCATGAAAATCAACATGCAATTCAGGACTGATTTCACTCACCTACATGTCATTAACCACTTGAAATGTTTGAGGAACAAATTCAACGACATGAATGCTTGCCTTGATATAAGTGGTGCTGGGTGGGATGAAACAAGTAAAATGATTACATTGGATGATGAAACCTTGAAATCTTGGGCTCAGGTATAACAAATTCAGCATCTATATTGTCACCAAAATTTAATACATTTGATTCACTACTTATAAGTATTTGTTATTGCAGGACAAATCCAATTCTAAGTACAAAGCGTACATAAACAAACCCCTTCCTCATTTCAAAAATTTACAAGTTATCATGGGTGATGATCAAGCCAAGGGTGAATTTGTTAGGCCCGTGTACGCTAACATTGGGTCTAGTAGGTCCATACCTATTCCCGATGATGATTGCGAGATTCTAGAGGAGAGTGAAACTGAACCACATTCTGATGCTTGCAACCAACCACATTCTGATGCTGTTAACCAACCATAACCCACTAGATATAAGACTAAGAGTAAAGACAACATGACTTCATCATCTAACAAGAAAACCAAAAAAATCTAATCGCGAAGAGGAAATGCTATGTGCCTTTGTTGAGTCAATGTCTCAGTCAATGAGAAATCAACACGTTATTCACTGGACTGAGCAGTTGACTGCAGCGTTGAAGGAATATAGGTCTGAATATTCTGAGGACCTCGATAGGATTTTAGACCATTTATATGATAATGAACGTGAAGCTAAGAGGTTCTTCATAAAATCCAAGGAAGGTCAACAGAGGTACATCACCAAATTAGTTAACGACCAATCTTGGTTGGATAGCTAGTTTGTTGGGTTTCGATTATATTTTGATGGATATTGTTGTGTTAATTGCAAACTATTAATGTTGCAATATATATTTTTATTATGAAGAACATCTATGTCGTTGTAGGATTGATGAATTGGTATATTTTAACTTTTGATACAGGTAAGTATGGTCGTGGAATGATCAATGAGTTCTTTGAATTTTGCCTTTGCTTTTGATATCAGGTAAATGAGTTTGTTGTTTGGGTTTACTGATGTCGGCTTTTACATTCTGTTGCTTGGGTTAACTGCTGTCGGTTTTGAAGCTCAAAGCAGTGGACCTCCCGCTGGCTATGACTTTGGGCTTATTGCTCCAAAGTCACACGTGGTTATGGTGGGTTATGGGTTGTTATTTGGAGCTTGTGTAGCTCCTTACTCTTTGGGTTTGTTGATGTTTTGTTCTGAAGCTTGTGTAGCTCCTGTGAATTAAGTTTGCTGTTGTTTTGTTGCTGGGGTGTGTTGCTGTTTTGTTTTGAGCTTGTGTAGATCCTTGCTGCTGGGTTTGTGGCTGTTATTTGGAGCTTGTGTAGCTCCAATTGCTGGGGTTTGTTGCTGTTTTGTTCCGAGCTTGTGTTATTCTTGTGAATTGGGTTTGCTTGCTGTTTTCGTCGTGGCTTGTGTACCTCCTTGCTGCTGGGTTTGCTGCTATTTTGTTCTAAGCTTGTGTAGCTCCTTGCTGCTGGGTTTGTTGCTGTTTTGTTCTGAGCTTGTGTAGCTCCTGTGAGCTGGGTTTGCTGCTGTTTTAGTCGTGGCTTATGTACCTCCTTGCTGCTGGGTTTGCTGCTATTTTGTTCTGAGCTAGTGTAGCTCATTGCTGCTGGGTTTGTTGTTGTTTTGTTCTGAGCTTGTGTAGCTCCTGTGAATTGGGTTTGCTGCTGGGTTTGCTGCTTTTTTGTTCTGAGCTTGTGTAGCTCCTTGTTGCTGGGTTTGTTGCTGTTTTGTTCTGAGCTTGTGTAGCTCCTATGAGCTGGGGTTTGCTGTTGTTTTCGTCCCGGCTTGTGTACCTCCTTGCTGCTGGGTTTGCTGCTGTTTTGTTTGGAGCTTGTGTAGCTCCTTGCTGCTGGGTTTGTTGCTATTTTGTTCTGAGCTTGTGTAGCTTCTGTGAATTGGGTTTTCTACTGTTTTGTTTGGAGCTTGTGTTGCTTTGTTGTCGTTGGGTTTGTTGTTGTTTTCGCTGGAGCTTGGGTTGCTTTGTTGCCTTTGGGTTTGTTGCTATTTTATTTTCGAGCTTGTGTAGCTATGTAGGCTGCTATGTGGGAGCTGTTTTGTTTTTTCCTTGTCTGTGGGTTACTTGTTGTTTTGTTTTGAGCTTGTGTAGCTCCTTGCAGTTGATATTTGGCAATGATGATGATCAGCATTTATTGAGAATGCAATCTAACTTACATTGTTTATTATATTCAGATGAGGCAAAAGGGGATGAGATTGCAGCCTACATTGAATTGACAATGTCTAGGCGAGGCAACTCATCCTTATAATGCAATCTGTAATAAATATGTAAGTTATAGGTGGGACAATCAATTATGATAAGTTGATCTATTATTGAGCCATACAATATCAATTAGAATTTATACCCAATTCAAAAAACAGTTTTCATTACATCCTCAATAGTTTTTGTAAGTACAGGTACATGACATGCAGTTTGTAATAATTAAAATAATACAAAAAATTGCTAATAAAATTGCTGAAAATTTTCAAGCTAGTAGTTGATTTTCGACAAGTCTCAGTTCTTTTTTCAGCCTCTTTGATTGCAAAATATATTTATCTCCGTACCTATTTTCTGACATATTGGCTTCCTTGGTTGCTTGAGTCTCCTCTTTCATCAGCCCATTCGAAAAAATTATATTCTTTATTTGGGAATTTTGCACATCCCCAATAACACATTCCCTTATTTTTACCATTCTTACACACTTTCATCGGTGTTCGGAGATTACAGTCGCAATAAACTTCATAATTTTGATAGCACTCTTCTGATATCATATTGATGTCTGGGATCCAAATTGAAGACAATTGGAATTTTAAAATTGCTAAAAATTGAGAATGCATGGATTAATTTGAGGCCTCAAGTTGAATTTATAGCCACCATGACCCTTAAAGAGCCGTTGCTACAGTGTTATTTCTTTGAATTTTGAAGATGGTGGAAATAGCTGTTGCTACAGTGTTTTTTCTTTGAATTCTGAATTTGGTGCAACTAGCCGTTGCTACCGTGATTTTTTTTAATGAACAGTGAGCTAGCCGTTGCTACAGTGTTGATCCCTAAAAAAATTTCATTCTGAACCAAACATGGTATTAGGAATTGGAGGGTTTCTATAAAAGTGAGATTCCTAATCCTTTGGGTGAAACAAACATATAATGCAAAAAAATGGGATTCCATAAAACTAAAACTTGTCTATAAATTTTATATGGATTAGGTTGGAATCCATAAATAAAATAGGATTCCTAATCCTATTCCTAGCCTCTATTGAACCAAACAGGCCCTTAACTTCTACGGAAAGTGAAAAAGTGGGACGAACATGAGATTTAACGAAAACTTATTTGAATTCATGTTACCAAAAACTTATATATACAATTATTGTGTAGTTAAAAAATAATAACCCTATTATAATAAAAATCATAACCTTAAACATTAAATAATTATATTATTTAAAATATCAATTTACAAAAGTTAATACAAATACCATACAATAAAAATATCATAACTCGAATCTTGTAAGCAAGGTTTTCTTCTTAATCAAATGAAGGAATAACTGTACATCTATATCTTACTTTTAGTTTTTTGTATTAACATTTTCAAATAGATGATTTCACTAAAACTGTAAGTAAATAAATGGATAAATTTTATTACCACAATAGATTCGTTTTTCACTTTCAAAGATAACTTTTTGTATATAAGCATTGTCTTTCACTTGCATCATCTCTCGCAAAAAATTTATTTTTGTCATGTATGCCATCCGAATACTGGTGGACTGAACCAAAAATAGCTCTCAGTTGGAGGGCGTAGAAAAAGACCAACATCTTGCTCCCGCATCCAGCATCAGTGATGGGCCTGATTCTATTGGGCTTATGTTGAACCTAAAGCATAAGAAATGAATAGAAAGACTTTTGAAGCCCTAGAGCTTCTACAATCTTGAAGAAAATATATTGAGAGTGAGAGAGAGAGAGAGAGGAGGGAATGGATAGAGAGGTGGCGACGCTGGAGAAGGGCTCGCAGATGCTGCAGCTGGAACTACTGCGGTCAGAGGCTGGCGGTGGGCACGGAGACGGCACCGCGTCTCCGTCCACCGACTCGCTCGACTCATCCTCCAACTCTTCATTCTCTCGCTCTTCTCAATGGAAGGTTCCCCTCCTTCCCTTTTGCTTCAATTCCATCTTTCTATTTCTATTTTTGAAATTAAATTATGTGATCGTTGTAACAATTCAACTTTAGTTCACTTCATATTTCTTCGTTTATTAGTATTCTTTGCTTGTGTGATCTCGTTTTCATGTTCTTCCTATGTTTAGTTCAGATTTGTTAATGAATCCTACTCAAAATGTGGCGACATTTAAAAAGATCTTGACTTTTTTGAATGATTGTTAATTTATATTTAATGTTTTGTTATTCACATTCATGGTGGTGGTTGTCTAATCTAATTAAGGGAAATTTTCTGTTGTTCCTTTTTTCATTGACCTGATCATGATGTAGTATGGATAATTTCTGGAGTACCAAGGGAGAGAAAAGTTCTGGAATGTAAAGGATTTAGACTTAGTAGAATGAA